AAAAAAAAAAAAGTAAACAATATGAAAAAAATAAATGTTATCCAGAAACAATATGAAAAAAATAAATGTTATCCAGAAACATGAACCGAACAATATTTACCTTAACGTTACATCCATATTCGTTACCAAATTTGAATTAAAAATAAAATATAAAAAATAATAATAATAATAACAATAAGAAAAATCACTGCATTGGCGAACAAATTTGAAACACCGCCATCTTTGGCGATTTTTTATTTTTGTTTGGCTCAGTCAAATGCAATGATAATTAGTAGATGTGTATCTCATATGATATAAAACTTATGAAAAAATAAAAATAAAATAATAAAATTATTTAGGCCCCAAAATAATGTGAAAACAAAAAGTAGAAAGGAAAAACAAAACTAAATAGTGTGTGGGCGAGCATGTTTTGACATTGTCATCTCTGGAGATTTTTTTTTTTTTTTGGCTTAGCAAAATGCCATTAAAAGTTTTAGGCATGTACCTCACATCATAAAGAAAAAATATATATATATTTAGGCCCCAAAATAATGTGAAAACAAAAAGTAGAAAGGAAAAACAAAACTAAATAGTGTGTGGGCGAGCATGTTTTGACATTGTCATCTCTGGAGATTTTTTTTTTTTTTTGGCTTAGCAAAATGCCATTAAAAGTTTTAGGCATGTACCTCACATCATAAAGAAAAAATATATATATATTTAGGCCCCAAAATAATGTGAAAACAAAAAGTAGAAAGGAAAAACAAAACTAAATAGTGTGTGGGCGAGCATGTTTTGACATTGTCATCTCTGGAGATTTTTTTTTTTTTTTGGCTTAGCAAAATGCCATTAAAAGTTTTAGGCATGTACCTCACATCATAAAGAAAAAATATATATATATTTAGGCCCCAAAATAATGTGAAAACAAAAAGTAGAAAGGAAAAACAAAACTAAATAGTGTGTGGGCGAGCATGTTTTGACATTGTCATCTCTGGAGATTTTTTTTTTTTTTTGGCTTAGCAAAATGCCATTAAAAGTTTTAGGCATGTACCTCACATCATAAAGAAAAAATATATATATATTTAGGCCCCAAAATAATGTGAAAACAAAAAGTAGAAAGGAAAAACAAAACTAAATAGTGTGTGGGCGAGCATGTTTTGACATTGTCATCTCTGGAGATTTTTTTTTTTTTTTGGCTTAGCAAAATGCCATTAAAAGTTTTAGGCATGTACCTCACATCATAAAGAAAAAATATATATATATTTAGGCCCCAAAATAATGTGAAAACAAAAAGTAGAAAGGAAAAACAAAACTAAATAGTGTGTGGGCGAGCATGTTTTGACATTGTCATCTCTGGAGATTTTTTTTTTTTTTTGGCTTAGCAAAATGCCATTAAAAGTTTTAGGCATGTACCTCACATCATAAAGAAAAAATATATATATATTTAGGCCCCAAAATAATGTGAAAACAAAAAGTAGAAAGGAAAAACAAAACTAAATAGTGTGTGGGCGAGCATGTTTTGACATTGTCATCTCTGGAGATTTTTTTTTTTTTTTGGCTTAGCAAAATGCCATTAAAAGTTTTAGGCATGTACCTCACATCATAAAGAAAAAATATATATATATTTAGGCCCCAAAATAATGTGAAAACAAAAAGTAGAAAGGAA